TCTCGCAGTTTTTTTCTCACTCTTCAATGTCGATTTTGAATTTTGTTTGTTTGAAAACCATAGAATGTTCAGATCATTGACATCGAATTGAATTGAAATGAAATGAAAATAATGAAAACGAAATCAATAACAAAATGAAAATGATCAACCTGTTTAATGTTGGTGTTGATGAAAAATAATCATTTTCAACAAAAAAAAATTTGATTTTTTTTGTTGATGATTACAGTCCAAATGATCTTCGAATCATAAATTATCGACAAGTTTCATGATGAAGGCCATTGGCCATCGATAAGAAAAGTATATCACCTGCTGTGTAACATCGACCAAAACAAAAAAAAAACAATCGATTTTTATCATTTACCAACTTGTTGCATCGTACAAAGATAATATCATAAATATTGATAACCTTTTTTTGAAATGATCTGCTGAAATTCGATATTTCCGATATCTATAAACAACAATAGCAATGAGAATTTACTTGCAAATTTACACATTCCTAATCATCAAATTTTATGTCTATGATCGACTGATTGATTTTGTTTGACGATCTTTTTTCCTCATTTGATTATTTTCTATTGTTTCTATTCATCCATATTTTATCGGTTATCGTTCCGTGGTTCAATGCATCGTTTGGCTAGACAAAATATTCATGTTTTGAATGTTATTGATAGATTTAAACATCATTAAATATATATAAAAATAGCATAAAAGAATTAAAAAACATTGAATTCATTAGAAGAGCGAAAAAAATGGTCAAAGGTTGTCTGGTTTTATTTTGATTTTATTAATTTGGCAATCAAACACCATAGCTAAATGATAATTTTTTCTCTCGTTATATGTGTGTGTGTGGCAGCCGGTTTTAAATTTTTTTGTTTTTCTCTAAATTTCAGACATCAAACAGACAGATACAGACAAAGATTAGATCGGATCTTATCCGACACGAATATCATCATCATCTTTAGGCGTCCTGAATCTACTTATGTGGATGGCTGCCGATTTTTTCTCGATCAACAAAATGTATCGATAATGAACAAAAAAAACAAAACAAAAAACATCAATCAATTCATGCAAAATAAAGTTAAATAACCGACAAAAAGATTTGATTTTTTTTCTTGAAAATCAATTTTCACATAGTGATCGATGGATTGATTTATCGTATCAATTGATTAATTCACCTGTATAACACCATTCGTGCTTGTGTTTTTTTTTCAATGAAACTTTGATGAGGTCATGAAAAAATGAAATAAAACTTTTATAATAAAATATTTAAATAGAAACAAAAAAATTCTTCATCGGTCAGTTTGAAAATGTGTAAATGATCGAGACGACAACAAACCAAGCAACAGATTAATCTGGCTTTAATATTTATATACGACGACGATGAAAAAAAAATCCCATTCCAGCCAGTGATTATATAATCTTCTGAACAGAAAGAGAATTAACAAATTTTTTCTATTACTTTTAATCAACGACGACAAATTATTAATAATAAAATGTTCATCTTTTGTTCTACATTTTTTTTGAATTCAGATATAATCAGGAAAAATGCAGCTGTAATCAAATATATGATCTATATTCATTCATTCATTCAGTAGTAAAAACACTAAAAATATCATTGACAATTTTGATAAATAATGTCAATGTCATTTACAATAAGTAAACTTTTTTTTTGTTGTTGTTGGTGGTCTGTCTGATTGCTTGATCCACCAAACTTCATTTCGTTTTTATTTTGTCTGTAAAAAAATCTGGAACTAGCCGGTAGTTGCAGCTGCAATAAAAAAAATCTAGATTTGTCCTAGTTTTTTGTTTTGTTTTGTTGTTGCTGATGCTGAAAAACATTGCCAAAAGGGGATGGAAAACATTGGATAAACATGTAAATATGTATAATAATAGATATTTTACGAAAAACAACAACAACTGAATGAAAAAGTTTGAACAAGTACCCTTCACATTTCAAATTTATGCAATATCAAAAAAAATCAAAAAAAATGTTAGCTTAATTTGTCAATTCATTCGTGGTTTATTCGTAACACATTTTTCACATAAATATTGTCAAATAATGTTCTTTCGATAGATTGATTGACATTGACAATCAATACTATAAAGTCAATCAACCGTATACGCTAGAATATATTTTTTCCCCTTAAAACAACATCAAACATCTCTCATTTATATCAAACATATTATCATTAAAAACTTTAATTACGGGGGTGGTAATTTTCTTCACTCACTTTTCGGTTCTGTATATAGGTACGAAACAAATGATAAGAGAACATAAATGATTTGTTTTGATTGTGGGTGGAAGAAAAAAAAACTTTGACAATAGGGAACAACAACAACAACAAAAAAAGTAATATTGAATGATTTCAATCAATTTCACATTATAAGTCAATTAAGGTAAATTAACAATTTTTTTTTGATTAGAAATGTACTAAAAATAAATATTGAATCATTGAACTTTGAATTGTATGGACTGAAATGAAAAGAAACTAGGTCTTTTTTTCATTTCACCGTTTTTGTGATTATTTGATTATTTGATCAATCTAGATCATCATTATTGTCGTTGTCATTGTCGAAAGAAAAAAAATAACGGTAGGTCAATTCAAGGGTTTTTTCTCTATTCTACTTTCAACTTATTTAGTTTTCTTTATTTCATTTGACCACATAATAAATCAGTAAATGTCTCTGTCTGTATGTCAATATGTTTGTGTCTGCAAAACACCGGTATTCAAGATCACAGACACGCGTACAAAATTATTATTATTATTTCAATTCATCATCATCCACATCAAATAAAGTACACTATTCAACAACCGCCAACGCCAAACAACAACCAAAACGAAAATCAAGTCCGGATGCAGATGTTCACGTTGTGAAATCACCAAAAATGACTTATGATTTGAATAGAAATTCACTTTTTTCTTTTTTCTTCTTCACCAATTTTCTTCATTCAACACTATCTTTTATCATCATGATCATATTGGCCATGTCATTGATTCAAGTTATTTGCTTGAATAAATATGAAATTCTTTTATTTTCGAATATTTTCAATTTTTCGGGAAACATTTTTTTCGGTTTTCCATTATACGAAAAGTAATATTCTTGTCACTTTTTAGTAAAACTTTTTTTACACTTTCCGTTTTCATCTTTGTCAACGTGTATTTCCTTAAACATGTTCGATTTTGAAATTTTGAAATAATGAATTTTCATTCATGTTTCAAAATTTGAATTTTCCCATCATTTTATTCATCCATCATAATTTTCGAAATAAAAACAGTAAACAAAAGCGAAATTATCCGATCAATTTTGTCCACCGATTCATGATGATGCAAAAAAATCGAAAAAGTTGCAAATAACATCGACCACACATAATTGATTGGATGGCAAAATTCTGATTTTCCAGCAGAAAAACCAAAAATTCAAGATTCCATTATCAACCACATTCACAAATTTTTTGCATTGAAATCATTCCATTAGATAGAACCATAGAATGAAGAAAAAAACAATAAGGAAAATTACAATATCTGGTCGCACATTTGGTTACAAAAAAAACTAACAAATTTAATTTCACAAAAAAAAAGAAAAAGAATAGGAAAAAATTCGCTGTCTTTGTTGATCAACATCATTTGTTGTCATTTTCTGTTTTTATTCAAATTATCAGTGAAAAAAAAGACGGAACAAAAAACATCACAGAATTTTGCTGTCGTTATCACAAAAATGCAAATCACAATCTATGAAGAACATTTGTTTCAAAAAAATTTAAATTTTTTAATTTAAATTTGTTCAATTGTACATCTACTTTTCAACTATTTTAAAATTGTACATTACATTTGTTATCAGCATTTTTCATTTCGTCACCCTGCTCTTTTTTTTTCATTCGTTATTGCCATTTTTCACTGATCATTATATATTGAACGACAATTCGATTCAATTTAGCCAATTGGCCATTGTCGATGTTAATTTTTGTGATTGTTTTTTTCTCATTCTCTTTCTCTATTTATTCACATTTCAATTTTATCTGGCACATATGTGTTTCGAAACATTTCTTTCGTAAATTTGATACCTGTTTTTAAATTGAACATACAATTTTGTCCATTATGAAAATTGGAAAAAATAAAAAGAATTTCGTCGCTTTTTACCATCCATTTTCAAAAAAGTTCCTAATTGAATCAATAAACTAATGATGATAATTGTTATTATTGCTTGAACATTTCGATTTAGCGATTCGATCATTAACATTCAGATTTCCGGTCCAAAATGATTATTTTATTTTTTTTCATTTGTAATAAAAAATAACCTAGCTTTTGTTGTTGTTGTTGTTCATTCCTAATTCAGTTTCTGTGCAAAGTAATGGTTCATAGCATGTATAACTGATGATGATAATGATTTAGTTTGACCATTTAATGATTCTTAATACCGGAGAGAGAGAAAAAAAGAATAAGAATCAGAAAAAAGAAAACAATGCATATGCAGATATGGATTAAATTGTATGCAACCAAGTATGTAATGCTGCTGGTCAATTTCTCATATCTTTTGTTTTTTATTGTTTTTGGTTCAGACTGTTATTGTCTCAAAATTCGGATCCATATGATTATTGTATTTGTCTGTTGTTGTTTCTATGTATGTCTGTGTGTGTGTGTGTGTGTTAATCGAACCATAGAATATTCAATTTATTTTTCGTTTCTTACCATAATGATTTTTCTTTTCCGCCCTTAAACAAAAACAAAAAAATGGAAAAGTGAAAAGTTTTTACAATTTTTATGTCTTTTTTTTGTCTGGCAATATTCCTTTATTGTGGAATATTTTTTTTTGTTTGTTTTGACCCAAATTTTTCCATTACGTTTTCTTATTTTAAACTGAACTATTGAATTGATTGAAAAAAAAGGAATCGATTTGATTGATGACCTTATTTTTTTCATTTTTTTTTAATGATTTGGAATTTTTTTTTTTCACCGATTTTAATCGTTTTTTTCTTATATTTTTTTCGATTGAATATATAGAGAAAATAATCTCTTGTCCTGATTTGAACACCGAAACTGAACAATCATATATCAAACAAATAGATCTCATAAATGAATTAAAAATTCAACAACATTCAAATCAACGTTCCTATTATGGCCTGTTATTAGATCAACAAAGAAATATTCTACATTTGTCATCAACAGAAGATGACAATATCGATTCAATCAATCGTCAGATTCGTCTTAATGATAATATTAGCCGAAGGGCAATCGAAATCATATCAAACAGTAATGATGTGACATTTTTGATTACACTCAAACAACATCGTCATAATGCTGGTGTTATATTTGCATTTACAAATGGAATTCATAGGTAAGATTTTTTGTTGTTGTTGTTGTTGTTAACAAAACGAGATTGTGTGATGATAACAATGTCCGATCGATAATACATTTTTTTCCATTTATTTTTTTTCCTATAATGATCCTGTTTCGTTTAGAATTCTTGAAATACAAAGCAGTAGCCGACGTAAAGAACTACGTTTCCATTATCGTATCAACGATACAATCTATTCAGAATCATTTGATGTTGATATTGTTGATGATAAATGGCATAAAATTGCTCTAACAATTAGCTATTCACAATTAGATCTGCATATTGACTGTATTCATCGATTTCGTCGTACGATACAACCATTGGATAGATATTTATTTGCTCATAATAAAGATAATAATATTACATTATGGTTAGGACAACGTGGTCCGAATCATTTTGTCTACAAGGTAAGAATAAACAACAAAAACAGCAATTCACAATTCTTATTCTTATTCACATATACAGGGCTATATTGGCGATTTAAGAATTATTTCATCAGCGAATGGATTTCGAATACAATGTCCATCCGATCTTGGTGCAGGTAATTCTTTTCTTTTCTTTATTTTGTCAAAATTATAATGTTTTTATTTTTCACTTTTTTTTAAAGCTTGTCCTACCTGTGGCCAATTCAAAGAACTAAAAGATTCAATCAATTATCTGGAGAATACTGTCAAATATTTGACTGAAAAGGTAAGTCAATATTTGAAATGTTGAAATTTTTTTTCATCTACAAAAAAAAACAAACGAATTGATTACACTTGAAAAAACTAGGATTTAATTTAATATTCAGTGTTAGATTTGAATTTGAAATTATCATCATGCATTATTCACACTTTCTCAAATGATAACACCGCAAAAATTAATTAAATTTGAATGGTGCAAATTTATTTATAAATAAACAAAAATTGTGATTTCACTTTTCAATGATTGTTTTTTTATATAGCTGCTGATGATGGAGCAACGATTATCTAATCGTGAACAACAATGTGAATGTTTACGATCCTGTTATATGAATGGTACAAAATATATGGATGGAAATGAATGGATTTCCAATGATAATTGTCATCGTTGTCGATGTTCGGTAAGTTTTTTCTTTCTTTCTTTTTTGTTGGTTGATTGCTTATAATCATCATCAATCATTCGATGAAATTCGATACTGCTTGCTTAATTATTTAATGGTTGAATTTATAATCAAGAATTATGTGCAATATTTGACTGTTTTCTCTGTGTTTATTTTAATCAACGATTCAGATTACAGCGAAAGTGATATTCTAAACATTTGCAATCATATACCCTTTAGCTAAATTTAACATATTTCAAATATTAAAATGATAATGTTGTTTAGTGACAAGAAAAAGCATTTCTGTTCATATTCACAAACCTTAATTAAATCTTGATTTCAATCTAACAAACCACTTATGTACATAATAATTCAATCATTAATCTTTTTTTAACTCTTTTTTTTCATTTTCATACTTTAAATGTCATCATTATTATTTTTTTATTTGATGCTAATTATAGGCCGGTTCGATTGCTTGTTATCCAATGACAGCTTGTCAACATCAACATCATGAATCACATTCACTTCAAAAAGTTGATTCCAATATTCCATCATCATTATTATTGTTGCCAAATAAAAGTGAGAAAAACTCTTCATCATCATCACCATCAACGTCGTCGTCTTCATCAAGTAAGTTTTGATCATGAAATAGTCATCTCACCTGCTGATCAATGTCATCCGCAAAAAAACCTATACATCAATTGAAATCATTGCCAATTATTTTTAACATTTTAATCCTTTTCTCACTTGTCTGGTTTGTCTGTTTCTTAGGATGTCTTTATAACAAGAAAATTTATTACGAAGGTGAATCTATTGAACGTTGGACGAATAAAAATCAACCAAATCGTGCTAAATGTTTTGAATGTGTTTGTCGATCACGTTCGATGCGTTGTAAAGAGAAACATTGTCCGGTATTAAATTGTCCACCATCCAAACGAATACAACCGGATGATAAATGCTGTATGATTTGTGAAACGGATTTCTGTTCACTTGGTCATGATTGTCATCCAATGGCTGAATGCCATAATTTAGCTACGAATTATACTTGTCATTGTAAACCCGGATTCAAAGGAAATGGACACACCTGTCAGGATATTGATGAATGTAATATTCTTAATGATGATGTTGTCGATGATAGAATTACTCATCATAAAATGATTGAAAAACAATTGAATAATAATGTATATCGACATAAATGTAATACTGCCAGTTCGATCTGTGTCAACAAACCTGGTTCATATGAATGTCAATGTAAATCCGGTTTCATACCACAACCAGACAATCAATATGAATGTATCGGTAAGTGTGTACAAAATAAATGAATTCTATTGAATCGATTGACAATTATCTTAATGATAATATAATTATAATAATGATGATGATGATTCCGGCATTGATTTTCCCTTAACATCCGTTATCTTTATTGTTATTGAATAAATCGTATTAAGGTTTTTTTTCGTTTCGTAACATGAATCGAATGCAATAGTATTTTATGACTATTTTTATCATAGGGGTTTCACACTAGCAGCAATGTGAATGAAATATTTCAAATGCAATATTTCA